CGGCCCCAACGGTTTCTCGAGCCCCTTCGTGATTGCAGCGCTTCAATGCCAGCCAATTTTGCGCTCTACAGGGGCCACGTCTCCCCGCTGCTGCTGTAGAGATTTAGAGACGACCTCTTTGCAACATGCTGTGACGCAACCATTCATCCTTCGTCTCTTTGCACCACGTTTCCATCCTCATCATCCCAACACTTGAGGAGCTCACCTCTCCACCCACCACCCGCTGCTCTCACCTGCTCATCATTTCCACGCTCGACAGTCTCGGACTTCCGCAGAAGCGGCAATCGCTCACACGTCCTGAGCAGACGTAGTGGGAAGGCTCGCCTCGCCCGTTGGCTTTAACCCTACCTCACACCATCGGCTGTGCGGTTCCAAAACCTCTAGACATGCTATACCTCACTGCGGACAAGTTCCCGGTCTGTGAGTCTGCGGCGAGGCCAAAATGTGTCTGTGACATCTTCTTACGATCGCTACACGCTTTGCAGTCGTGCCATTCGGCATCATTGGCTTTTATCGATACTTTTGGTATATGATACGCTTGGCTGCTGCCGTTGTCTATAGACCCATTCCGCCTCCTCCTAATCCAACATACATCGCGGCAGAAGATGTCACAATGTGAGTAATGATTGTGACCGTCGCTCATCACGAGGATCAAGTGCCAGCCTCTGACGCGGGATGGCTTCGACAATCAGCATTGTTCCCACTATCGACGCGGGAGAAGAGTTTAAAGAAGCAGCATTCAGCTGGTTGCAAGGATCGCCTGCTCAGATCATCATCGTAACGGAGCACAAGATGAGAGGGCCTTTGCAAGCACTGGCAAATGAGGTTGACCCCGAAAGGATTACAGTTCTGACGGTGCCCAAGGCCAATAAAAGGTTGCAGATGGCTCACGGGATCCGACACACGGCGACGGACATTATCGTCTTCGCAGATGACGATGCCATTTGGCCACCCACCCTCTTACCATGGGTCTTGGCCTGCTTCGAGGACCAAGCTGTTGGCGGTGTGGGGACGTCGCAGCGAGTCAAGCCTATCGGTCACAGGATGACAGTT